AAAGAATCGAGAAAGAACTTGACGTTGAAAAGTTTGTTTTGTAAATATTAACTAATTGGAATGCTTTGGGCCTTTTGGCACTTAATTACTTGCCTAATATTACAATTAAAAAACAAAACTCGAATTTAAAGTGCCTTTAAAAAAAAAGATTGTTTCAATACCCAAATGCAGTAAAAAGAAGAGTTCTATAATACCGAAGGTCACTTTTGGTAAGAAGATTCGTACTCTAATTTAAATCATGATTCATGATTCACTACAATATTTTTTCTCACAAAAATACACGTAAATCGGAAATGATTCTAATATCATGATTCTAATTCATGAACCAAACGTCTCCGAAGTGTCTGGTTGGGTGGCCGGTGATGGAAGTAGAGGTTTTCACGAAATTTATCAATATGATTGATTTGTCCAATCTAATTCATTTTGAGATTTTGAATTGGATTGAAAAATTTTTAGATCAGATATAAATTGATATTTTCTTAACTCAAAGATTTTAAATTGGTTTAGTAAATTCACTCCGCAAAATTTGATAAGTTTTGAATTAGATTAGATTACAAATCGACTCTTAATTTGTAAATTTCAATCCGTGAACACCCCTAGATAGATGTGCTGCCCGATGGTAGTCGCAAGTGTGTCTCTTGAGGATGATCTATTAGATTTGGTGGGTCTAAGCCTGAATGGTCCCCATGTTGCAGTGAGAAGGGCGCTTGCCTTGTTAGGTGTTTGTCGACGACATAGGGCGGTTCTCTTATACTTATTTGGTTTCATTTTCCAAATGATGGCTCTATCTTATTGCAACATTGTTTATTTGGTCCTTTTGGTCAAGTTGGTCAGATCTGTGCTGATGGTTTGATTGTGTTGTTGGACCGTGTCTCCTTTAATTGTCGTTTATTTTTAATAAAGGCTATGTTGTTCGGGCCACGTACATGTTGTTGTTGCCCATGTATTTTTGATTTTGTTTTGTAATAATGAAAGTGATTTTCCCACCTTTCGATTTTGTTGTGTGTCCAACCTATTCGAGTTGTTTTTTTAGTAGTGTAGGTGTCTGTGTATAACTAGGTTTGTTTCTTTTACAGTGTTGTGGTTGGCCTTAATTACTACTATCAGTTTCCTGCTCTCGATCGATCAAAATTTCAATCGATTATAAATGTATTGTTTAAACATATTACAAATGTATTGTTTAAACATTCACATTCACACACACATATATTTATACATGATGAGTTTTTAATGGTTAAATTCTATCAGTGGTTACTCATTAAGTACAGAAATTTAAAGACATGATGTGATAAGAAACTAATTTTATTAATTACCATATATAGATTTCGTCAACTACCTCATTTTTTATAACCGTCTAATTAATATTACATGATTAAAATAATAATATATACTAATAAATAAATATTGAAATAACCATTAAAATCACACACATATATATACTCACTCCAAACTTTTGAAATAAGGCATACGTTTTTCTCCATGAGTGTGATTTAAACTCAATAGTAGAATTGGTCAATGTTAAGGGTTGATATGCTTTTGTATTTTAGGTTTGCGTATATTGCACTATTTCTATCACTTTGTTATTGAATAAAAATCTCTATCTCCTTATTATTCTGAAATTGACGTTTACTACAATTAACTGAAGGCGCTCTCTCTCTTTATAAAACTTTTTCTCCTCCTCCTCTCTAAGTTTCCTTGCCGGTTTTTCCTCTGCGTTGCCAGACCTCTAGCCATAAAAATCTCATATCTGACTTCGCAGCGAGACGATCTATAAAGTGACGGGCTTCATGTAACCAGAGGAGGTGGCATTTCGTTAGATTCGGCCTGCCTGTAAAGGTATGAGTTTCTTAGTGATTTTACACGATTTTCAGAGGGTTCATTGGCTGTGGACTCTGGAAACTCATGGACAAACATGGGGGTGTTGCTTGCTCATGGTGTTTACACCATCTCTAACAAGATCTCTCTTGTATAAGTTGTGATTTGTGTATAGTTTTTTGTATTTTGTTCTTTATTTTGTTGTAATAATGGCGATGGTTTCCCATCCCTGGTGTGTTCCTCCAGCTAGAGAGTGGTTTCCTCACCTATCTCAGTCTGTGGTGTTTTCTCCCTCAGCCAAAAGTTGGCTTCCCCGTCACTGCTAGTCTGAGGTATGTGTGTATGTGTGAAGTCCATTATAAAACTAGAATTTGGCTGATTTTGAGTCGTTTTTCCGTGACCAAATGGTATAGTTTCACTTTTAGGAGGTGTCCTCCCCTTATTGGATTAGGGGAGTGTTACTAATATCTAGTCTTGTAAGTGACACCCTTCTTATGACTTTGATGAAGTCATATATTCTAGTCCTTTAGTGACCTTTTAATGAAATTGTCATATTTACCTTAAAAAAAATCTTTTGGGTTTGATTCTACTGAAGCAATGTTCAGGAAATTGGGCTTCCTCTTTCTAAGTTTTTAATATATCTTTGGTCACTTTTTTTGTGTAAGTAATCTGATTTTACTTCGAGCACAAGGCTCTCTATTTTTATTTTATTTTTCTATAAAAAAAAGGGATATTTACACACACGTACAGTGAGTTTATTCAGATAATATAGAATATGATTTTTGGTTCATTATTTGTTTATATAATACCTGAGAAATATAAATTTGTATTTAATAGACAATTTATCTTGGTTAATGTTTAAATTTCACTATGAAAATGACTAAAATATCTTTAAAGAACAGTAATGTCGATTGTTATTCTCATAAGCAAACAATATTTTAGAGTTAGAATTTTTGAAAAAAAAAATGCTCAAACTCAATTTTTGCGCTCATGAAAAGAAAAGAAAAGAAAAATATTTGGTAGATCAACAATTATTTTTGTGGCACAATGGTATTGTATCAAAAATAAAACTACCCACAAACAAGTTAAATAAAAATGGCAAATGGATAAATCTAGAGCCGCTACATCATTATATTTAATGATATTGAACTTTTATCACATCACATCTCATGTTTCTATATTTAATGGATAAACACAAATAAAAATATAATCATTGAAAACTCATCCTAATAATTAAGAAATTAAAGCCTCTTTTATGTTGATTTTATATGAATTTTTTAATCCTCTCTCTCTCTTTTTTTGAGAAACTTTTTAAGCTTTAATTTTGTTTTTAAATAATAATTAAATCTTGTTTGGACACAAGGGTATTTTGGCTAATTTAATAAAAATTTGGGTGTCGATTAACAGATAACGTTAAAGAAGAGGATTTCAATAAGATTTATAAAGCGTAATAGATAAGTGCAAACATTCTTTAAAACATAGAATTATAGTGTAACAATACCATTTCAAAAAAAAAAAAAAAACAAGGGAATTTCGTCTTTATCTCTTATATATAACTCATAGTTAATTCCTTGAAATAAAACAATAACTCTTAATCTTGCCTAAAACAAAAAATTACTCTTAATTTTTTAAATACGTTTCCTATTTAAAAGTGTGCTATGCATATTAATTTAACTAAAAAAATATATATACATCAGGTGACCGACACTACACGGTAGGGGAAATTTTAGTAGTATAAAATTAGAAAAAGGAAATACACTTGACTAGGCAACATTATGAGATGTGCTTTGCATATCTAATGTAGAAATATATAATATCTCCTAACTTTAAAACTGAGATAGTCATAAGTATTTTGATCTTGTGATGATATTTTTTTTATGACACAATTTTTTTTATATCTTTTTTGAAGTGTATGACACCATATTATTTGTTTAAACTAGGATACATAATATGATATATGCTAAATTTGTTCATACTCTAAAAGGGTCGAGATTCCATTAAAAAAAAAAAAAAGGTGCGACTCAAAGGTCAGTACCTCATAAGTAAATGTAAATACCTATATATATATTAAAATAAATAATGAAAAAGAACAATTAGTATCAAGACAAATTACGAACTAAATTATCCACATCCAAGCACATTTAATATTATTTTCTTAGCCAAGTATATATTTCAAATTAAGCATATTAGGGAAACAGTAAGTAAATATTAGGAAATAATAACTTACTATTAATGTTATATTATTTCCTAATAAAATATGTCGATTAGTTAAGATATTGCCACCTTAGAAATTCTTGTTAGTAAATGATATTTTAATTAACGTCCCTGGTTGAAAAGTTGGGCATGTATTTTCTTGTTTATTAAATTACCCCATATAAAGGATACTGTTTTATTTTTCCCCCATTTAACAAGAATGAATTAGGGAAAACCTAATTGGTCCTGATCACCAACGCAAGCGAACTCCACTCCTAGCCGTTGGAAACTAATTCCATGTCATCCTTAGCGGTCAGATTAAAATTGAAGAATAAGTTTTCTCGTCTAATGTGAATAATTCCAATTTTGGTATGATTAAGAATACGGGATTTGTACAATCTAAAATATAAATAATATGAAAGTTTACATTTTTGTCTGGTCTATTCTTCCTATACCATAAAATCCATGTCAAACCGGTCATCGGTTGAAAAAGGACAATCACACTACTCGCGACTATCTTAATTAAGACTTTCATTTTTAATTGGGTACTCCCACCTTTGAGAAATGTTTCCCCAATTATAATTTTTTTTTTCATTTCCCTTTTCTAATAGATGATTAAGACATCGTTTATTTTATCGATTCGAGTTTTCAGTTTTAAGTTTTTATAATTAAAAATTCTCAAAAAATGTCACATTTAACTTTTTCGGCTATAATTAAAAATTTTATAAAAAAATTTTATTTCAATTCAAATTAAGAACTCGAATTTGAGGCTAAAATTTGCCCATTATAAATAAGGAGCGTCTCCCTCATTCAAAACAAGAATCACAAAGACGAAATCTCCTCTTTTTCTTCTCACAAACATTAACACTGCAAAACTCGCTCTATCTGATCAATTGGCAAAACATAGTCCAAAATATTAAAATCCACCAAAGCCAAATTAACGTCTCATACGACAACATTCAGCACCACCAGCACCACCAGTACCTATGAAGATGATGATGGAAGGGGTGCTAACGGCATTGTTCGTGGTGTTGCTGAGTTTGCTCCTAAACTCTTTCATGCTATTGGCTAACCCCAAGACGCATCAAGAAAATCATGGAACGGCAAGGCGTGCGTGGCCCCAAACCACGCCTTCTCACCGGCAACATCCTCGACGTGGCCTCCCTCGTCTCCAAATCAACCTCTCACGACATGAACTCGATCACCCACGACGTTGTTTCCCGCCTCCTCCCCCATTACGTCGCCTGGTCCAAGCAATACGGTACCACTCCCGTCTCGTATGCTCGAGTCATGTGTGGAATTAGCGTTAGACTGTACCTGCAACTACTTTTTTATTATTATTATTTTTCATCCTTCTAAGAATTCTGATTAATAATATTTTCTAACATATATTTATATATATAGGGGGGAGGTTTATATATTGGAATGGAATAATAGAGCCGAGGATGTGCTTGACTGAACCTGAATTGATAAGGGAGCTATTGTTAAAGTATAGTAGTATATCAGGGAAATCTTGGCTTCAACAACAAGGGTGTAAGCACTTTATTGGCCGTGGATTGCTGATGGCCAACGGTAAGGATTGGCAGCACCAGCGGCAAATCGTTCATCCTGCATTCAAGGCAGACAAGGTCAAGGTATAGTATTATTGATAAGACTAATCATCAATTTTATCATCATCATCGTAATCACGATGATAATCTAATGAAGACTTTTATTATATATATATATATATATATGTATGTTAGTGTTTAACTTTGTTATATATTCCTTTTTCCCTTTTTTTAAAATGGGGTTGTGGTTTTTGTTTTTTGTTAATAGAGCTATGCGGGGTACATGGTGGAATGCACTAAGAAGATGCTTCAAACACTGGAGAGCGAAGTTGGGTCGGGTAAGACCGAGTTTGAGATCAGCGAGTACATGACTCGCCTCACTGCCGACATAATATCGAGGACGGAGTTTGATAGCAGCTATGAGAAGGGAAAGCAGATATTCCATCTGCTCAATGTCTTGCAGAAACTGTGTGCTCAAGCCAGTCGTCATTTGTGCCTGCCTGGAAGCAGGTAAAGTTTCAAAATAAGTGTGAAATTACCATTAGACTTGTAAATTAATACAAAAAAGTCATAACAGTTCTTCACATTTAATTAGTACTTGACCTGGTATTTGCCCCCTTTTTTTTTTCAATTTTTGGAATTCTTCCTTTATAAAAGGGGAAATATCTTTTACGCGGTTGTGTTTGTTTCCCGCAGCTTTCTTTATTAGATTCCAATCTTTTTCACCAAGCGAACTTCTTTAAAATTTATTTATTAATTAATTTTTTAAACATTTACAGGTTTTTCCCTAGCAAGTATAATAGGGAAATAAAGTCATTGAAATCTGAAGTGGAAAGGCTTCTAATGGAGATAATACAAAGCCGAAAGGATTGTGTTGAGATTGGGAGAAGCAGTTCTCATGGGAATGATTTGCTTGGGATGCTTTTGAATGAAATGCAGAAGCAGAAGAAAGGAAAGGAACTTAGCCTAAACTTGCAGCTTATAATGGACGAGTGCAAAACCTTCTTCTTTGCTGGTCATGAAACGACGGCGCTTCTGCTGACGTGGACGGTCATGTTGTTGGCCAGCAATCCCTCTTGGCAAGAAAAGGTTCGAGCTGAGATCAAGCAAAAGTGCAATGGTGAAGTTCCCTCTGCTGATCATCTCCATAAGCTCGAATTGGTAAGGAAAAATTTATTTGAATTTTCTACATTTTTTGGGGGTTCAATTTGTGTGATAATAAAATATACACTAAAATATTAATGGGTTTTTTTTAAATAAAAAAATTAGAAAATTAAAAAATTATTGTGGGGGTTAAGAATTGGGGGAATAGGGTAGGTAATGGAGGGGGAAAATACCAAAAAAAGGGAGTCTACTTTCTAGGGATATTTTTTTTGCCACTAAAGAAATGCTTCAATAACTTTAAACCAACATTACTTTTACCTACTAGATCGTACCTTCTCATAAGTTTCTTTGGGCTTCTAGTTAGTGCAATAAAAAACTTGGGAATGGCATGTTAATTTGCAGTTTAGTGCTACTAAGAGAAAATTATAAGTAATGATAGTAAAAGAATTCAACTCGTGCGTAATAGTTTGTAGCCTTTTTGGCTTTGACTGCGTTAGTGGTTATCTAAAGAGCAAACAAAATCAGGCCGTTGAAAATAGAATCCTGTGGTAGATGCCCTTTGGCTTTTGTGCGTTGAAAGAACTTTTGCCACGTGGAAATGGTGTGGACCCTTGGTCTCCCCGAGGGCTGAGAGTTCATGGCTGCGCATTTTCTCAGGATTATTAATATCGTTTTATGCTAAAAGGCATAAACAAAGAAAAACCCATTCCACCAAAAAACAAAAAAAAAAAAAAAAAAAAAAAAAAAAAAAAAAAAGACAAACAAAAAAAGAGTGTCATCATATATAGGCGTAGCTGAGTGTTAATAAATGGAGATTAAGGTATCGTTTATTTTACTAAATTAAATTTTTAATTTTAAATTTTTATTATTAAAAATTTTTAAAAAATATCACATTTAATTTTTTTTTGTTACATTGAAAAACGTAAAGGCAGTCAAAAGGCAGTTGCATACTATACTTTGAGAGGAGCCATCTGCTATAACGAATATGCAAATACTAATGACATTGTTTAATTAGCTCAAGAATTCCATTTAAATTGTGTATTACGTAGTGGTCCACAATTCTATATGTGTGTGTGTCTATATATATATATATATATATATGATTGTACAATCGCAACTCCAGATTATTGATTGTAACAATAGGACTAATTAAAGTTGACAATTAAAAATATGTAAAGGCTAATGACATTGTTTAATTAGCACAAGAATTCCATTTAAATTGTGTATTACACAGTGGTCCACAATTATATATATATATGTGTGTGTATATATATATATATGATTGTACAATCGCTACACCAGATTATTGATAGTAATAATAGGACTAATTAAAGTTGACAAATAAAAATACAAACAAAAAAAAATTTTTTTTGGTGGTTTTTTTTTTTTTTTTTTTTTTTTTTTCAGCTAAACATGATAATAAACGAATCCATGAGGCTTTATCCACCGGCTAGTGTACTTCCTCGTATGGCCTTTGAAGACATCAAACTAGGGGATCTTCATATTCCAAAGGGCCTATCAATATGGATACCAGTTCTTGCAATTCACCACAATAAAGAATTGTGGGGCAAAGATGCAAATGAGTTCAACCCAGAAAGATTTTCTTCCAAGGTTTTCAACCCCAACTTCATCCCTTTCGCGGCCGGTCCTAGAAATTGTGTTGGTCAATCTTTTGCCATGATGGAAGCCAAGATAATATTGGCCATGTTAATCTCCCGGTTTAGCTTCACCATTTCGGAGAATTACCGCCACGCTCCGGTCGTCGTGCTCACGATTAAGCCAAAGTATGGGGTTCAAGTTTGTTTGAAACCAATAGAAGATTGAAGAACAAGAGGCTATATGGCCTAATTTTGGAGTTAATTGAGTGATTGAAGTACAAGAGGCTATATGGCCGAATTTTGGAGTTAATTGAGTTCGTTATTTGGTGAGGCATGCATGGAGTCAATTTGAGAATATGAGATTTCTTTATTTTGTTTCTTTTTTTAAAATCAATAATAGTTTTTTTTTTGTTTTTTTGTTTAATCTTATGGAATATTTTATATATAGTGAAGATGAAGAGATAGGGATGAAATGATGGTTACGAGGATTAAACAAAGGCATAGAGATATCAATAAAAATGAATGAATATCACAGTGATATTGCTTTTGGAAGTGTTTATCATATGCCACAAAGTAATTTGGCTGTCAAATGTTATCATTTCTTTAAGGAGATTAAGGCCCTATTTATTTCACCGATTTGAGTTTTGTTATAATAAAAAGTTCTTAAAAACAGTCACATTTAACTTTTTTGCTATAGTAAAAAGCTCTCACATTACATCTCAACTCGAATTAAAAATTCGAATCAACGAATTAAACGGTCCGAGATTGTTTTTGATAAGTCTTGACGCAATGTTTGTAAGGGGGAGAAATAGGAAAAGATATAATTTAAGTGAGAAAAATAGAAAGAAAGGGGATGATATATTATAATTTCTATCAAATATTTGATTAAGAAATTTAAGTGCGCAGCTTTTAAGAACACAGAATTTACTAAAGCCAACTTGCATGTTTTCAGATAGGTAGGGTCGCGAATTTTTATTTGAATTTCTTCCACAGAAAAGGCTCAAAAAGTTGCCTTTTAGCTAGCCCCCATATAATTATATCTTCTTACACCAGTCCATCATCTCAGATTCTGCTCTTCCCACTACCTGTGTTATCTTTAAATTCAATTTTTAATAAGGACTTTAGCCTTCCTATCGGCAAAGTGAGTTTGTAACCGTTAAATTTAATTAAAATTATATTAAATTAAAAAATATGTAAAATAAATATTTTTTAATATAAATATGATAGTTAAAAATAAAAAATTATTAATAGTTCTTTTTTTTTTTCTTCTAATCATTCATAAGAATTATTTTAAATACGACATATGGACTAATTAGATACGTGTAAATTTTTTCATATATTTATATAATATAAATATATCGCTGTACGTATGTGTACTCTCAATATATTTTAATGTAATATTCAATAAAAATAATTCAAAACATATAAAATTACACGGGCGTATAAAAAGAATTATATATACAAACAAATGATATTACGTATATATATATAAAAAGTTATATTTACCGCAAAATACGATAGCTGAAGCTAGGACTTCGCCTATATTGGAATTTTATTAGTTGCGTTTGCAACCACCATTAAGGAATTCTGTCGAATGTCGACGATGTCTAGCTAGTAGTATGCTCCGTACAAGAAATTCCAGCAGAGACTTATAATTAGTGGGAGTACGTGGGACTCGATAGTTTGGTCATTCTATCTAGAAAGCAATATAAATATGCTAAAGGTAATTTATTTTTAATATCATACATAAGAGATGGAAAAAAAGTCCAAATGCTACTTTTCGACACCAATAAATGGTGAATAATGAGTTTAGTTTGAGAGTTGGAGTAAAAATCACAATATCAAGCCATTCTCCTTACGACTCTCTTTGGTTAGAGGGATGGAGAGCATCAAGAATGGAAAAGTTCGAGAGATAAAGAATACAAAGAATGGAAATGATAATAGTATTGGTAATTTTTTATGTGTTTGTGTTGGTTGTGAAAACAATTTTCTACGCGGAAGTGTGTATTTAGCAAATCGTGTATAATAAAAATTTTATAAGCTTTTGAGACACTCTATAGATTACATTAATTTATGTACGAATAAATTAATCAAAATAATTTATTTACCTAGCGAACGATTAAGTCAATAACTTAAGTTTTTTTTACTACGAATGTTCATCGCTCCAAGCTAGCTAGTTTAGAATACTCGAATCTTCTTCATTAATTCCTTGAATATACAAAGACGTCTGTGTGGGTACACCTGAAACAAAACTGGATTAGTAAATAAACACTCAAGTATTCCACGAACACCAACACATGCACGACGTAGAATTTGGGAGAAAACTTTTCCTTTCCTCACTCTATAAAATTCAGCCACACTACGTTAGGGAGAGCAAAAATTACGTTCTACAATTTTCTGCAATCTCTTATTTATAGAGCAGTAGTCAGACTCTTAGAAGAAGTTTGAACTTTATATCTAAGATAAAACTTGATAATTATCTCTCACTTCTAATTGATTTTGAAAACAAACTCCCATCTCTCCCTAATCCTATAGGGCCGACCACCACAGGGATAATCCTCCATGTGGTAGGAGCAAAACGCAGATAGGGAAGGAGGTAAAATTCTCCTTTATCCTGTAGTCTAATTTTGACTCAAATTCAAATTCTAATTTAAGTCAAACTTAATTTAATTTGAATTTCAATTGGACAACTTATCAAATAAGCCAATTGGATAACTTAGAAAGTAAACAACTGAATCCCAGAGGGATTCACACTGTGTTGGGCGTGTACACCATGTGGACACCTCAACATGTGTGTTCTAAAATTTAAAGTTAAATAATCACATTATTTTTAATTTATAATTAATTCTCAATTAATTATTCTTGAGCTTTCTATTTAGAATTCTATAATTCTAAAATTTTCATTTTGCCCTGAGTGTCTTGTAGGATTACATGGACGACGCGGGAACCCATGGACCTATAATTCCGAGCTCCAATAAAATTAATAATTAATTAATTAATTCTACTAAATCTAAAAGTTATTCAACTATAAACTTGGAAGTACACTCTCGCAATTATAGATATAATTTACTTCTAAACTATGAAGTACCCATTTGATATAGTCATTACATATAGATCAATCATCCATAAATAATTCATAATTAGAGCTAGGTAAAATCCGTTAACCTCTCTAATTACATCTTTATCCTTGAGTACCATTGATTCTCTAATGGACAGTGATTCATGAAACAAATTCATAAATCGGAGATCCTACTAGTCCAAGTACCGAATCAATCCTCAAGAGAATTATTTATCTACTTCTTTCTCAAGACGGAATGTATTCCATTTTGCATAATAACATTCCTAGCTACTCACTTCTTTATGTATCTAAAATACAAGATATAAGATTCAACATATCGGAATCCGTAGCGAGTAAATCAAAAAACACAAATCTATAAATATGATTATGCTAATAACTCAGGATTAAGATAATTCTATATATGACCATCAGTAGACTCAATTAGAATTTCTATACTTAACAGAATTTATCATAAATTCATATTGTGTATGTGTCCCAATTCCACACAATCTCATTATGCGTAATATATTTATTTAATAACTTGTCATACTAACAGTGCGAATAACACCATTTCATTCCAAATGTGAATGACATGTATTAATAATGTTTTAATTAAAAATTTCAAACTTTAATTAAATTCATTACGAATATTGTTTGGATTATTATCCTTAAATATTATCATCTCGCATATAACACTTATATACAATATTTAAGATTACATAAATAATTATGGAATTTTCAGTAATATTTATAAAATATTCAATAATATATGCACATAAAATAATGAATAAACTATTTTATTAAATAAATAATAAATATCTTATTACATCTCTTGGTTCCAGGAGATCATTCCAAACTGTTTGGTTAGATGGAGGGGAAGTTTAAAAGAATGAATGGATATATATTTGTCTAATTACTAAATTACCCTTTTTATTATATGTTAATAACTTTTTTAAGGATAAAATAATTTTAAGCGTAACTTAATGTATTTAATGAATCCTCAATTTTGTGGGCTCAAAAAGAGAGCTCATCCCCTTAATCAAATATGGGATTAGCTCTCACCCTCCACCCCCTCTTCATCCCTTCATCTTTCACTCTAACCAAACACACTCTTAGTCCTCATTTATTTAACTGATTCGAATTTTCAGTTCTAAGTTTCTACAATTAAAAGCTTTTAAATAATGTCACATCTAACATTTTTTGCTACAGTTAAAAGCTGTCAGAAAATATCACATCTTAGCTTGAATTGAAAACTCGAATTCACGAAGCGAACGAAACCTTAAAATGCGCACCAGAGGTGTACCAACAGAAGACACTCTATCATTCAAGCAAGATCAGAGCTACACTGGTTCCAAGAAGGCAGTTGTCCTCAACACAATGGCTGCTTGTAAAATTCAGTTATACCCCAAATTTTATCTTTTTTTTTTTATGTATTTTCGTATTTAAAATTTAAAACAAAGAAAAGCTAAAAATCAACTATATTACTATGTAAACATATTTTTGGAACTGTAAATTTTAGAAATTGACTAACTTCTATTACAAGTTTATTTAGAAAAAATAAAAAAGATACAATAGATAAAGCAAAGGTAAATTAGAGAGAGAAATTTTATTAAATATTCACATGTAGGTGAGCCACGTTCTTTTTATAAATTTGAATCATAATGTAACCTTTTACCTATAGTATTTTTTCTTACAAAAAATTGAATTTTTGTTTAAATTTTTCATTCAAACTTATGACAAGCATTATTCACATCATGTAACTCTTATAAACTTATATTAAAAGGCAAAAATTTAAACACTGATTATCTTTGTTTTTTTTTCTTTAGCAATTTAGGATTTTATGGGCTAGTTTGGAGAAAGTAAAGAAGAAGGAGCATTCAACAAGGATAAGTTTGCCAAGTCTTAATGTTCTCATATTTTGCCTTTAAAATTAATTTTTTTGCCTTTAAATTTATTTTAGGTGACTTATATGTTTGACCCATTTAACATAGCTTTTGCCTTTCTTTTATCGAAAAAGTGAAGTAAAAACTGTGACTTAATGTTTGGACATGTAAAAAGAGTTTCATGAGACAAAAATAATATTTAAGTTTTCTAAAAAGGAAAAAATCCCCCTCGCCCTCTGTGTGCTCACCGGCTGTGAGGCCCATCGCAGTTTCCCCTGGCATAAA